TTGCCTTTTCTGGGTTTCTACTCAAATGTCCCCTCTTTAGTAAGATACTTCTTGGTTACCAAAGTCAAAAGTACAAGTCCCCTTTGTTTCTCCAAACCATCCCTCTTTCCCCTTCCCTTTTTTCTCCATAGCACTTAACGCAACTAAAATATTATACATTTACTCATTTTGCTTTCTTCTTACATGAGGATATAAATTCCAAAAAGCAGGAATTTTTCTGTTTTGTTCACTGCTATACTTCAGTACCCAGAACTGTGTAAGACATATGACTGCCCAACAAAAATTTACTTCAAAAGCGAATATGAGAATGAATACTCTAAAAATAAAAAAAAAATCCTGCTTACAGCATTCAACATAAGACAAGCCCCCAGTAAAGAGTGTTAAGAACTATTTTAGAAGAAATCTGGGTTTTTGTCCCTACTTCATCATTTACTAGCCTCATAACTTTGAGCAGGTCACTGAATATGCGTAGGTCCCAAACTGGAGTCTTTCAAATTATGGCATAAAAACAATTAATAAATGTCAGAAATAAATCAGACTACACCACTCCCAACCCTCATGCCCACGGTCCACCAGCAGGGTCTATTCTACCCCCACCAAGCTTCGCTCTGTTGTACCTCTAGTCCTTTTTATGATTTTTGACCAGGACTTTTGAACCACCGTTAATTATACTTTACAGCCAAGTACTATGTTAGGCATTAGTAAGTTTATGCATCTGATTCTGAAATCAACCCTATGTAGTAGAGATTATCTCCCATGCATTTTTCCTATCCCCGAATCCCATGCTTCTAAAATGATATGTCTAAAATGCCCAGGAGACCTGGTCATTCGCCCTGCTTAAAAGTCTTTACTACTCCCCATCAATAACAAAGCACTTTTCTATCTCTTTCAGTTTCACTTTTCACCACTTTGAGATGCAATCTGTCACTTTAATAGCCTGAATATTTATCTTCAGTGACTAGTAAAATAAGCAAATATTAGGAGCTTAGTATCTTCCAAATGAATGAATGTTCTTCTCTAGTTTCAACACATTTGAACTCATTTAATATTTACATTTTAAGTGTTTGTTCTCCAATATAACTTAGCAAATGTACAAAGTTTTTCAAATTTAGAAAAGTTTTCCTAACTTTATAAGGAAAAAAATTAATTGAATGCTTATTGTATATCTCATGCACTAATTTAGGTACTGTTTTTATATAATTAGCTAATCTCTGAAATAACTTTACGGTTGGGGAAAAAAGTTCAGATGCCTACTATAAAGCTATAGCAATCAAAACAGTGTGGTACTGGTATAAAGACAGATGAATGAAACAGAATTGGGAACTCAGAAATAAACCCTTGTCTATATGGTCAAATGATTTTCAACAAAGGTGCCAAGAGCATTCAATGGGAAAAGAACAGAATTTTCAACAAGCGATGTTGGGAAAACTGGCTGTCTACCTGCAAAAGAATGAAGATGGACCCTTACCTTGCATCATATATAAAAATTAACTAAAAAATGGATCTAAGACCTAAAACTATAAAGTTCTTAGACAAAACACAGAGTGGAAAAGCTTCATGACATGGACATAGTAACGACTTCTTGGATATAAAACCAAAAAGCACAGGCAACAACAAAAAAGTATGTAAATTGGACTATATCAAAATAAAAAAAACCCTCTGTGCATTAAAGAACACAACCAACCGAGTGAAAAGGCTACCTCTTGAATGAGAGAGAGCGCAAATCTCATATCTGATATGGTATTAATATACAAAATATATAAAGAACTCCTACAACTCAACACACACCCAAAAAACCTGTCAGAAATGGTCAAAGGACTTGAATAGACATTCCTCCAAAGAAGACAGATAGCAATAAGCACATGAAAAGATGCTCAAAGTCAATAATCATTAGAGAAATGCAAATCAAAATCAAAACCATAATGAGATATCATCTCACACCCATTAGGATGGCTACTATTTTTAAAAAGAGAAAAATAATAACGGTTGGCAAGGACAGGAAGAAATGAGAATCCCTGAGCACTGCTGGTGGGAATGTAGGCATTATGGAAAACTATGATGGCTCCTCAAAAAACTAAAAACAACTACCATATGATTCATCAATTCCACCTCTGGGTGTATACCCCAAAGAACTGAAAACAAGGTCTCTAGTAGATGTTTGTTTACCCACGTTCATAGCTGCATTATTTACAATAGCCAAAATGTGGAAGCAACTCAACCTGTCCATTGACAGAATGGACAGGTTGAGTTGCTTACAATGTGGTATAAACATATAACGGAATATTATTCAGTCTTAAGAAGGAAGGAAATTCGGACACATGCTACAACATGGAGGAACCTTGAGGACACTATGCTAAGTGGAATAAGCCAGCCACAAAAGGACACGCACTGTCTGACTCCACTTATGTGAAGGACCTAGAGAAGTCAAATTCACAGAGACAGGAAGTAAACTTGTGGTGTCCAGGGGTTAGAGGTAGGGGAGTTAGGAAGCAAGTTATTGTTTAATGAGCACAGTTTCAGTTTTGCAAAATGAAAATAGTTGTGGAGATGGATGGTGGTGATAGTCACACAAAATGCGAATGTACTTAATAGACTGAACTGTACACTTAAAAACAAGATGGTATTTTACCACAACTCCTTAAAAAATAGTTATGAGAATGACAAAATAAGCCAGAGACTGGAGAAAGTGTGGGCAAACTATGTATCTGACAAAGGACTCATGTCCCCATATATAAAGAAATCTCAAAGCTCAATAGTAAGGAAAAAAAGCTATTCAAAAAATGGGCAAAGTATCTGAACATTTTACCAAAAAAGGTATTCAGTTGGTAAAGAAGCATATGAAAAGTTGCTAGACACTATCATTAACCAGAAAATACAAATTAAAACCACAATGAGATACCATCACACATCTATTAGAATAGCTAAAATTAAAAGGACCAAACCTACCAAGTTTTAGCAAAGATATGAAAAAAAATGGAACTCTTGTAAGTGGCTCATAGGAATGTAAAATGGTACAACCACTTTGGGGAAAAGTGTCATTTTGTTTAAAAAAAAAAAAAAAGTGAAATATACATTAGACCATTTGACCTAGCTATTTCACTCCAATGTTCTTATTTAACCAAGAGAAATGTAAGCATATGTCCATACAAAAACCCGCACATAAATGTTCATACATTTATTTGCAATAGTCAAAAAGTAGAAACAACCAAAAAAACTATCAACAGGTAAATGGATAAACAAACTATGGCATATCCCACAGTGAACTACTTACTCAGCAGGTTAAAAAAAAAAGAATGAACTATTAATACAAGGGACCCCCCAAAGACATAATCTACTGATAAAAGATGTGTATTCGTTCTTACATTTTTTTTTTTTTTGAGTCGGAGTCTCACTCTGTCACCCAGACTGGAGTGCAGTGGCCGCTGCCGGCCACCGCAGCCTCGACCCACTGGGCTCCGGTGATCCTTCCACCTCAGTCTTCCAAGTAGCTGGAACTACAGGCACGCGCTACCACGCCCGGCTAATTTTTGATTGATTGTAGAGATGAGGTCTCGCCAAGTTGCCCAGGCGGGTCTCGAACCCGCGGGCTCAGGCAGTCCACTCACCTCAGCTTCCCAAGGGGCGGGATTACAGGCTGAGCCACCAAGCCCGGCTTCGTTCTTACATTTTTAAACTTCAAGCACCTTTGAAGTACTTTGTTTGATGCGATACACCGATTGAAATGTTTCCACTGCTTAAAACAGTTTTTGAACTCATCAATTTTGAGGCCTTTCAGTGCTTCTGCCATTTTTTGTTTCATGTTTCCCTTTGAGGATTTTTTTTTTAGTCAGGGAAACAAACAAAAAAAATTCACTCAGGGTGAGGTCGGGTAAATAGGGAGGACAGGGCATGGGGGTCATGCCACGTTTGGTCAAAAACTGCTGAACATTCAGGATTGTTTGGGCAGGTGCGCTTGTAAATCACCCATCATGAAATGGGCAAATGCAAGAATTTCCAAAATAAAATTCACTGAAGCCAAACACAGCCTCTCACAACACTGCTAGCTGGTTTAGTGATGCCGATGGGTTCCTAGAATACTTACCTAGAAGGAAAGCCTGTACTACAAGGGGCCTGGCCTCCAAAGATAATTCTGGTTTTTTGGGGTCTTCTCCACATACATACAATGTGAATGAATCTCAAAACAATTAGGTTGGTTGAAAGAAGCCACACCAAAAAAGAATATGTAGCATATGACTACATCTATAAATTTTTAAAAATCCACATCAATCCATAGTGACAGAAAGCAGGTCAGTGACTTCCTGAGACCAGGATGGAGAGAACATGAGCAGCAGGAGGGAAGGAGGAAAAGGGACAGAGGAGGTTCTGGGGTGACGGGATTATGCATGTCTCACTTGTGGCGATGGTATCACAGGCATGTATGTGTCAAACTTATAAAAGTGTACACTTTCAATATGTGCTGCTTACTGCAAGTCAATTATATCTTAATAACGCTATTAAAAAATAATAAAGAAAAGAGCCTTTACCCCAAGGAACTTAGAAGTTGCCATATAAATTTACTCCATGGAGCTGAAGATATAATTTTGGTAAGCAGGGAAAAAAAAAATCTGAAAAAAATGGGCATATATGAAAAGCCTAACAATACCTTCATACCTACTAAATAAGTTCCTTAAAGTTTCTATTTTTATTAAACACTTTTTTATATTAATTTAATATTTTGTCTACGAAATGCATTCACGTGGTTTAAAATTCAAGGAACCCATTCCATCCACCAGCCAGCAAGTGCCTTTCCCAAAGGTTACTGATTTTATCAGTCTCATGTATTTAAGATTTATTTAAGCCTAACAATAAACGGCAGAAAAGACTTCTAAAACAGAAATAATTTTAAATTGCTGACAAGAACCAAAAATTGACATGAAGTAGTCCACGGCAACTAAGTTTGAAATACCAAAAACAATTCTAAAGGGAAAAACGATTTTTAAAGGTTGAATGAAGATACATACCTGAAGCAAACCATATTTGGTTTCTACGTCATAAAGTTTATAATCCTTAATGTCTGGAGAGACAGGGGAAGGTAAGTTTTCCCAGTTACCGAGAACATTGGCTAAACTGGCAAAAACTGGTTCTGTGCAAAATGCCAAGCAATCTCTGTTTTAAAAAGAAAAAGTTATTTATTACCACTTTTTTTAACACATTATCAAAACCAAATATGCATAAAATATAAGTTCCTAATGAACTATCAACAAGAAAGTAGACTATTTTTAGATTTTGTTAGTTTCAGCATAAATATAATACACTTAAACCAACAAAAAGACTATCAATAGGAGGCTTTGTGTTATATGAATGATACTGGATAAATCATTCAGTCTTTGAAACTAAGTGTTGTAACACTTGTGATACATTATTTTTAAATTTAAGAAGTAAACAAAGTCGGGCTCGGTGGCTCAGCCTGTAATCCCTTGCCTTTGGGAGGCTGAGGTGAGTGGAT